CAGTTTTTCTCGTAAAATTACTGATTGGCAAATGTTTTTCGTTAATAAGAGAAATTTATCCGATAAAAAAAGCACTTGTGTTTTTACTGTTGATTAAATATAACTGAATAGTATAGGTAGTTGTAACAATCGCAGAAGGCAGATTTTTGGTACCAGCCATTTACATTTCAATCGTGAATGATCTAAATCGGAGCATAACTTAGTTATGTGATCGTGGCTGCATCTCTTATTTCTTGTATATTATGGTAGGATGCAAAATTTAGAAAAAATAATAACCTCATTCTGTCACAACACAGTGTAACATTTGACAGTGAAAAATTCAAAACTAGTGGATTCTGATGGATTTGTTATTCATATGATCGGCAAATGTTTTTCGTTACCAAGAGAAATTTATTCGATGAAAAAAGCTCTTGTGTTTTTACTGTTGAAAATATTTTAGGAGCCATCATGACGAATTTTTTTATTAATTTTGACGTTCATGACATCAACATTGTTATTGTTAATTCAACGAAAAATAGAGATGGTGGCTGACCAACAAGTTCGAGGCCTCGTTCGAGGCCTACTAAAATATTGTTACTGATGAATTTACCTGCTGATATCATGTCACCTCAAAAACTCAAATATCTCGAGAACGGTTAAATTTTTCTTTATCAGATGCTTCTGATTTTCACCGAAAATAATACAAGGAAAATAATTGCCTTCACAAAATCATGACACACCCTTTATAACTAAAGCAGAAATGTAGAACTGTTTCATAAAACTGTATTTAATTAACATACATTTATGCAGGAATTTTCAATTTGGTATCTTCTACCGTTTAGAAGTTATGCGAAGAAATTATTTTAGTTTAATCAACTTTGGAAGGATATAATATCTCCTTTAATACACATTTTGGGCCATTTTATTCATCAAACTATAGTTACTTTTCAATGTACTATCACAACCAAAAAGCTGGGTACACTTTTTGACTTACCCAGTATAAAACACATAAAATTATCGATTTTCTCCAATGATTATATTGCAGTAGGTAATTTTAATAATCATGGTCCATCTCAGTTTAAAATAGTTGTGCAAAAAAAACTTTGAATACAAAAACTGAGTTCGATTTTTGAAATCCGCAAAAAGTTGGAAACTTGACTACGTAAGTTGTTATTTGCATATCCGTAAAGAAATTGGCGGTGAAATCTTTCAGTTTCAAGTCATCCAATAGAATGGGGAAGTTTCCTTCCGATGAATGTTCATGAAATATGTTCGAAACTTTCCAGTTTTATGTCCACGCTGTACGCTGTACAGAATGGCGACCGATAATGTCCAAGTCGTTTTCATTTTCAAATTAAAGCAATTTCTAATTTTCGCTGCGGCAAACTGTGACGAACATTCTGAATCTAGTCTGAAACTGATAGTGAAGAATATAGCTAGCGAATAGCTAACGAATGAAAAATATAGAAGAAGAAGAAAAACTGGTGAACGAAAACATACATAACCACAAATGCACTAGGAGCAGGAATGCAGAGGGTAGTTGGCTTCATTCTGACATGTTAGGGTTTTGTTATTTATGCATTGAAATATCTCGAATAGAGCTCGATCCTAAACAAAAATATCATTGAATCAATGAATCACTATCGGCTACAACATGCCTCGAATTATGGACAACGTTCAAAGAAATAGGATTCGTAGATGCAATGCTTGCATTGAAGTCGGAGGTCCTAATTTTGAACAACTATTGTGATATTTGAGTCATCAAGGTGTTGAAGATTTTTCTTCCAAGTGTAGTTAATTGTTGCTGTAATTATTGTTAATGATAACTATAGTATTTCAATTAAAAGTTTAATATTTTTCGAAAAAAAATTATAGTAGGATTTTGTATGTTTTTATTTATGCCTCGCATTTTTTCTATAAATGGGTTCACTTCAGAGCATTGAAGCAAGTGGACCTTTTTTGTGTGAAAGATATTGGCGCTTCAGAATGTGTTTTTTTGACGCACTGTATATTGAAAACGAAAACCCGGAGAAAAATTTCGTGAAGGAAAAATATTTCTCTTTTTTTATGAGGAATCTACAGTTTTCCGTTGTGACACTTATTTGGTAACAACCTGTATAGGAAACTTCCCCATTGTGACACTGAAAATCCGCTTCGGATTTTCCGGCTAGTGGAAACTAGGGTCCCTTGATGGAAATTGACGTTAAAGTCATATAACAGGGTACGGACAGATCCTCGTCTCCTCTCACTCTAAAGTGTTTGTGAAACAGTTATATAGTTCTATCCTTATTCAATTCTGGGGATAAATACTAGACTTTTGACATTTGTTGTTTTCTAGGTTATATTGAGGTCACTGGCGTATCATACGTAATTTCCATATGATTCAACTATACCAAGATATAGATAAAAAATTCTCTAGTTTCAGAGTTTACTACTCCAGCATAATCTTTGCGAGGTAGGGAACATGCTTAGTAAATTTCACCAAAAGAGACTGTTCTTAGACTGTATACCAGGGTTGACTGAATTGACTGAATGAATTATGATTTCAAACTGAGCAGTAGTTAATCTATGAGCTGAATGAGCTGAGCCTCATGATTGAGAAATGGTGAAAACCTCGATGTGAGTATCTAAACTACTGTACTCATGTAATGTGTGCTAAATATATTTTGGGAAATCGAACTCGAAGAAGAATTTATGAAGTGACTAATATCACACTATGTATAAAACTTCGTCTAGGACGAAAAGTAGGCTGATAAAAAGTAATACGTAAAATGTGCAGGAAAATAAAGAATACAATTTACTTCACCCTCATGTTATACATATGATTCTTCCGTCTCCCTTAAATAAAAAGTCATTTCAAATAATTTATTGATGAAAGTAACAAACAAGTAGGTATACGCAGTAAATATGTATAACTATACTTAGGCACATTATTTTCAATCTTGCATTTTACATATTTTCTATTTGTGGTAGAGAATTAATTATATAAACTAATGTCTTTCGCCATATTGGATCCGTCATCTTGGATTTTCCAATTTTGACGAAACAATCATTATGTCCTACTCCGAAAACCCCTAGATATCAATTTTGAATAGAATCGAATCTTCATTACAAAACTTGTTCGCCATATGATCTTCCTCAACAAGTAAATACCCTGTACATACCTATTATTGAAATTTCGAATGATTTTCTGTAGCGACCATGGATGTGACGTATCAGCAATGGAAAATTAATGGTAAAACTGCATTTAGCATGCGATGGGTTTTTTTTCGAAAATTTTTTTTGGTACTTACGTATTTTTGTCTGAAAAACACGAATTTGATAATGAAAATGTGAACAAACCAATATTTATCAAGATATTTCACTATAAAGTTTCAAATTTCACCTTCTTTTCCGCCTGTCTTCTGGATTGAATTTTAAACAATTCACCCTTCTTTTTTCATCATTGGACAATTTATATATATCACAATGTAAGACACATTTTTTCTATTATTGAGTCAACTAGAAATATGATTTTCTTGTGATTTATCCATATTTAGTGAAAAGAAGGAAGAATATCATTTGAAATAATGGCGTGTGTAATGTCATTCCAAAGCAATCTATTGACATTTGACATCTCGTATTTGGATTGCCTATGGATAAAATGGCCGTCATCTGGTATGCTTGCTCATAAATAGGAAAAACTCACCATGAAAATCATATTTCCTGTTGAATTTTCTGTATAAAAATGTGTCATTGAAGTACATCATGAGTATATAAAGTGTCCAATGACAAAATAAGAAGAGCAAGTACCTGAAAATGCATCCAACACAAGGGGAAAAAGGAGTCGAAATTTCGAACTTTTTTTTGAAATATCTCGATAAATAGTGGTTTGTTCACATTTTCATTATCAAATTCGTGTTTTTCAGACAAAAATACGTAAGTACCAAAAAAAATTTTCGAAAAAATACCCATCGCATGCTAAATGCAGTTTTACCAAATTAATTTCAAGAAATTCGCAATATGTGAGGTAAATAGTCAAATTTACTTGTGAAAACAGAACAAAAACGATGAATTCCAGGCCCATTTTGATAGAGATTTGTTCAAGCTGATGGATTTCAAATTGAAATAAGAGTCTGCTGTGCCGTCAATTTATAAAATGTAGACGTTCAAAAAAAGAGTTCCGTTGTCATCGTATTGGGAATTACTGAATGATACGATCGCAGAGAAAGAAAATGAGAATGAAATGATGCGGAAAGAAATTGAAAGTCTGAAATCAAAACTAGAAGATTTAGAGAAACTGCAATGTGCTATGACATCAGTCCACGGTGTTCTTTATTCAGATCAAATTCAAAATTTACAGGTGAATATAGACTGCAGGAAGAGGTGGGAAACCGACACAATTAATGAAGCACTCGCTATCAAATATATTGTTGTTTCGATTTTGTCACTTTTATTTCTGGTGAGTGTTATTGAATTGAGAGAATCGGAGAAAATTATATTGAAACAATTATATATCTTCTTTTATATCCCAACAGAAAACAACTATATTTTCTTGGCTATATGTGATACCACGTAGAACACTTAAATTATCTTCCTTATATCTAATAAAGTGAAGAAATATCTGATGACGAAAATTTTGCAATAGCCATTTGATTATGAAAATCATCGATTCGAAATTTGAACACCCTGTTGTTCATTATTTGAAAATTTCATAGTTATTCTAGTTAAAATAGCCCTATTTCTCACTTCTACCTACACCTATGAACGGTTTGACAAATAATCTAACCCTCAAAATTGTTTCTGACAATCATCATTGATACTAGGGGAATTGAAAAGACAGAGCTCGATATATATGTCTTATTCCTTTATTCAATCATCAATGCATTTTTTGAAAACAGAAAAGGACAGAAGTATAGCTGTGTCCGGACTCTTGTCTAAGGTATATACAGGGACTCTAGTGGAAACAGGCCTAGAGTCTGCATTTCATTTTTTTCTATTGTCAAAAGTGTCACCCTGTTCAACAATGTGTTTCTCGGCAGATTCCATCACTCAAGACCGCCGACCATGATGGAGGACAAAAGGGGGCCGCGTTTCGGGGGCTCCAAAGTGTCCGAGATCGCGCACATCTTCCAGGCGAGGCCCCCAGGCCCCCACAAGGACGAGGCTGTCGTTACGCCGATACGGAAACAGCAGAGGCTAGGGTATGGCAACATTGCACTTTTCATATTTTGCACTCGACAGTTTGTTAAATTCATCTGTTAATGGTGCAACATCCAGTAAACATTTTGCGACAGCCACAGCGCATCGTCCAATAAGTTAAACGACAGAGCCATGTTCGAGAAGCTGACCTTCTCGGTTAATCGCGAAAGTTTCTCTGAAATTTCTGAAAATTTCAATATTTGTTTCCATTTCTCGCAATGTTTCAAATTTTTCACAATTATTATGAGTAAATGAATCAAATCGTTGTTCATGAGGAACTGATGAAACTTCCAGTGAAATTTCTGAATGTTGCAAATGTAATGTTGCAAATGTAATGTTGAAAATGTAATGTTGCAAATGTAATGTTGCAAATGTAATGTTGCAAATGTAATGTTTCAAATGTAATCTTAAAATTCTCCCCATTGAGTTATTTCGATTTTTGCGACAGTCACAGCCACGGCGGATCGTCCGAAAAATTGGACGACAGCGCCATCGTGACCGTGATGAGGTCGGAATCGCACGTGACCAGGTTCAACAACGCCAGAGCCATGTTCGAGAAGCTGGGGGAGGAGCAGAAAAAGGAGCACCGGGTGGTGGTGCCTTTGCAGTCCACGCGAAGCGCCTCCAACATCCTCGACTCTAGGTTTGGATAACATAAAAAATTATGATATAATTTCCCAATCCTACAATTTTTTTTTGTTTCCGAAATTTAAGAATTTTATTCCCTCCAATATTTTATACTTACTCTGTAGTCTGAAAGTCAAAATTTCGGGTTCAAATAGTTGGAATTTTTCAGTATGAAGTGGGAATTTTTCAGTTCAAAGTCGGAATTCCGATTTTGCGATTTCTTTTTCTCAAGCAAAGTATCTAATCAGGATTAGACTAGACCTACTAATATTATAAATGTAAGTAAAGAAATTAAATGATCTTGAAAATCCCAATAAAGAATTCAGTATAATAAAAAATGTCAATAACTCGAAATTGGTTGTAATTCTGACTAATGTCTTGGAATTAATAAGAATTATTTAATTTTTTTTGACTGACTGACTGACGGAAATTGGAAATTTCAATAATAAAATTCATTTCATCAATTCGACTTTGAAGGTCAAAAATAAAATTCTGATTAATAATCAATCGGAATTTTCCACTTTGAACTAAATTTGAACTTGAATTTCGAAAAGAAATTAGCTCAGTAGAGAAAAATAATTAAAACGACAAAATATCTATCCTTATCATACTTCATCATCAATAGAGCAGTTCAGCTAGCTCTGAGAGAGAGAAAATATGTCTTCCCCAGCTGGGCCGCGATTGGCGCAGTGGAAGAGCGTCTGTCCCACGACCGCAAGGTCGTGGGTTTGATCCCCAGCACGAACAAGAAACTTTTCTCAATATTTTATTTACGAATTGAATATTGTGAAGTTTCGGAGCATCGGCTGGGGATAGTCCCGCACAATTCGCTGTTGCGTTCCAATTAACAGTGCTGCTCCTAAAGTGTCGCATGGAGTTAGTAACAAAGTTTACACAGAACACGCAGGAAGAGGTGATGATGTGGTTGTGAGCATCAGAGAAGAAGTAGGACGGTGTATGTAGGTGGGTGTGGAAAACAACCAGCTGAGCGTGAGCACTGCAGCATATGGTAGTGAGTACATTACTAGCCTACAAAACACATACGAAAAACTCTGAAAGAGAGCTGATGGGCGGTGCCTGAAAAGGATGTTAGCCAGCTCTCTTAAGTGAACCACATCACTCATTGAAAACACCTTGGGGCTTGCAAAAACGTCCCATTAGGGACTAGTTGCTGACGTGCAAAACGTAACGTCCCCCACCAGTACCAGTAACTCTGAGAGAGAGAAAATATGTCTTCTCCAACTGTCCTCGTCTCCACTGCTCTAACGTGAAATAATGAAAATTCTATATTGGAAACATTGAAAATTAGAAGAAGTGGAGAAGAAGAAGGTATTAACCTCAATATATAAGGTTAGAATTCTCTTCTTCTCTATTTCTTCTCATTTTCAGTGTCGCCAACATACAATTTTCACTATTTAACGTTGGAGCACTGAAGACAAGAACAGATGGGGAAGACATATTTTTTCTCTCTCAACACTAGCTCAACTGCTCTAGTAATAAATGAATTTCTGAATTGGAAAATTCACTTGGGAAAATGAAATGAACAGGGTGATTCCACGATTCAAAATTGCGACCACCATCCCTGGCCTTACCGTAAGTTTGTTACTCATAAAATGATTTATTGTGTTCCATTCTAGATCACGCAGCAGCTCGGCCAATAGCGAAACGCGCGAAACAAAGTCGCATCATGGATCACGCACCCCATCACCGTCAGCTGTCAAAAACTTCGATCAGCACTGCAGCGTTCCAGTGCTGATTTCGGCACCCAAAAAAACGAACGGATTCTGGTAATTCTTGAGATAACAGATAACAGATATTTATACATCAGGGTAGTGAAAAATAAAATTATTACCTTGGTAGATTCAGGGCTCACGCTTCGTTCATAGTTGCATGGTCATTCTAAATCAAAACCTAGTTAGTAGACGAGAGCGACAGGTATAATAATATTGTTTGTTAATTCAACCAAAATTTGCCTGTCTGTCAGTGTCCCTAGTTACAGAAAAAATCTAGAACTCATATTTTCCCAGCGAATGGGTTACGTGCAAGATCTGTCAGATGACCGACCCTGGAAGTAAAACACCGAAACACCGAAACACAACCTCACTTTTTTTATTTGTTTACGAAGGATTGAAATAGTTTTTCACAATTATTTTGGCATACGAATCGTGTTTTTTGGCTATTCATTAATTCACGCATGCCATCACATTGTGCTGATACAATGCATAAAAAATACAGCGAGAGACGAAGGAATCCGATTTTTCTGGTAGGTACATTGTGATCTAAAAGTACTATAGTCACTCACATAGATTTCATTTTGAAATTTTGTCATTTCTCATCAGAATTCCTTCTGCAATAGAAGCCAATACTCATGAAGTTTCTAAAAGAAGGCAAGAAGATTGGATTCAACGGGAGGACTGGTCTGACCTGCTGACGACATTTGATCATGTGTGTTGAAGACATTTTTTCTCTATTAGCAGTATTAGCTTCTATTGCAGAAGTGGCAGAAGTAATTCTTATTAGAAATGACAAAATTTTATAATGAAAACTATGTGAGATCGCTATTTGCCTGCAATATACAGGGTGATTCACGGTGGATGGCATATTAGACGTTTCTGGAGAACGCAACTCAGGGTTATTCTGAAAAGTTGGTGCCTTGGATAATTAGTTGTGTTCTATCGACCTAAAATATTCTCAGCGTTGCGACGTTGCCGCTTATATTGAAAAGTAGCAACAACTTTGATTTTTCAATGGAACACCCTGTATATCATTCCATTTTCAGATTCTCCTTGAAGAGCTGATTTCATCGATTTATCACACTTGGGGTCTAGCGGGAATGATAACGAAGATTTAGGATGTGAAAAATCGAAATTCTTCAACTTTAAGAATTTTTTGTGTCAATTGATATTTAATTGAAATAAATACAGGGTGGTTCAGAATTGAGATTTTTGACAAAGCAAAGCAAAACAAAGCAACGTAGTCTGAGGTATTGCTTCTATCTACTTTCTCATATTATTATAATAAAGGTATTACAATAATCTGTCAAGTAAGTCACTTTGGTGGTTACTTCACTTATATTTATTTTAGTTAATTCTTTCGGTTGCTGAAAAAATAGCATATTTCATTCGGATCAAAAGTGACTTTGTTTGAATCGCAAATGCAAAATTCGCTAGTCAAACAAAGTGTCATTTTTTATTCTAATGAAACAATAAACTATTAATAAACTCATCGGTACAGAGTGACTTGAATTTTCCATCAATTATAGCCTGGCCACGATTTTTTCAGGCATCCCATTCTTTTTATAATTTTTCGCGTACTAAATTACTCATAAAATAATTTTCATCCATTAAACAGATGGGTGAAGAAGTATTTTCCTTATTTGTGCAAGTACATAGACATTTTTTATTGTAAACTTGACAGAACAATTGGAAAACTCAATTCGGGATAGAGGTCACTAGCTTACTGAAAATATGCTCAATAGGTGCGATTTTCACTTTTTTTTTTTCAATTAACAGACAATATTATATCTCGCCCACTAACTAGGTCTTCATTAAGAATGACGATACTCCAATTTTTTGGAAAATTGTGAACTGTAAAGTGGCTCTAGAAAGATCGACACGAAAAAAAAAAGGTTTTGAAAATAATATTTCCTTAAGGAAATAACATATTAAATGTTGGACAATTATTCTATAAAGCGTCAGTGATGTTCGTTAAAAAGTATTCAGCAATAACGAATAAAATCAATCATAGTTATGATACAAGAAACAAAATAAACAATGTACGACTTGAAAAACATAAACTTGAAATTTCAGAACAACATTCTAGTTTTATTGGATCTAAAATTCATAAAGAAATCCCATCAAAAATGAAAAGTATAGATATTATAACTTGAAAAAAGGTTATAGGCTGGTTTATAGAAAATGCAAAAAAAAATCGAGGATCTCTTTCAATCAACTCTTTTTCCATATTTTATTCTTGTTTTTTATGTATCTTGATTATTCCATTCATTTCGAGTATTTCTATAGTAAAAAAATATGTTCATACATGTAATAATGTATCTTGATTATTTATATTCAATTTGAGTATTTCCATAGTGAAAAATATACTTTTATGCATGTAATAATTCATTTTCACACACAGGTCACTAACCTATGTAAATGAGATACAATTTGAAATATATACAGAGAAGTGCACAAAAAACGGCCAGGGCTGTAACATTTGAATTATTCGAGATAGGGTTTTGAAAATTGGTGGGTAGCAAGTATACCTCATTGCTCATTAATTGATGGAACAATTTTTCTTATATCACTTCCAGTTTTACCGAAAACGACCCCAACTTTTGATTTTCAAACGTGACATAATCGGTTAGGGATTATCATGACGAATTCAACAAAAATTGTTTTGTAATTAATGAGCAATTTGGTATACTAGCTGCCCACCAATTTCCAAAACCCTATCTCTAATAATTCAAAAGTTACAGACCTGGCCATTTTTTGTGCACTCCTCTGTATGTAACTAATATTTAATGAAAGTCTGTATATTTTACTTGGTTCAATAAAAAAATAAATGAAAAAATAAATTCAGTGAGCCCTTACCGAAGACAAACGGCAACGACGAGCGCGCCAAACCGCTTATAATGAAAAAGCCGGAGAAACCCGAACGGAAGTTCAACAGCAAGGAGCTGATCGAGCGACAACGCAACTGGACCTCGCACTTCTCGAAAACGAGAAACAGCAGGTACAACAGCGATCCGAACAAAGCCGAAGTGAAGTTCGCACCGAACACGAGTCTCAGAGAAACATCTACTGAAGGTAAACTCATTCAAATTGTTGCTCATTTGTTCATTTATGTTCTTTTTTTCTTCCGATCTTTCGTTCATCCGATATTTTGTTCTTTCGTTTTTTCGTTCTTTCTTTCGTTTTTTTGTTCTTTCGTTTTTCCGTTCTTCCTTTCGTTCTTTCGTTCTTTCGTTCTTTCGTTCTTTCGTTCTTTCGTTCTTTCGTTCTTTCGTTCTTTCGTTCTTTCGTTCTTTCGTTCTTTCGTTCTTTCGTTCTTTCGTTCTTTCGTTCTTTCGTTCTTTCGTTCTTTCGTTCTTTCGTTCTTTCGTTCTTTCGTTCTTTCGTTCTTTCGTTCTTTCGTTCTTTCGTTCTTTCGTTCTTTCGTTCTTTCGTTCTTTCGTTCTTTCGTTCTTTCGTTCTTTCGTTCTTTCGTTCTTTCGTTCTTTCGTTCTTTCGTTCTTTCGTTCTTTCGTTCTTTCGTTCTTTCGTTCTTTCGTTCTTTCGTTCTTTCGTTCTTTCGTTCTTTCGTTCTTTCGTTCTTTCGTTCTTTCGTTCTTTCGTTCTTTCGTTCTTTCGTTCTTTCGTTCTTTCGTTCTTTCGTTCTTTCGTTCTTTCGTTCTTTCGTTCTTTCGTTCTTTCGTTCTTTCGTTCTTTCGTTCTTTCGTTCTTTCGTTCTTTCGTTCTTTCGTTCTTTCGTTCTTTCGTTCTTTCGTTCTTTCGTTCTTTCGTTCTATCGTTCTTTCGTTCTTTCGTTCTTTCGTTCTTTCGTTCTTTCGTTCTTCATTTATTCATATATCTATTCATTTATTTCTAATGACCTTGACGACCGCGAATATTGGGTTCGCCCGCAAAACCGAGCGGTAAAGTTCTACTTTACGTCTGGTCGTGCATGATAGTTATTTATACACCAAGGTAGTAAAGATATCAGTATTACCCAGGGACTAAAATAATGTCCAGAGGCTTCATCCGAGGGGTATAAGGTCCCGTGGTAATATTATTCTTTGCTACCAAACTGTATATTAAATCTTTTCCACCACTAGCAGTATATTTCAATCACTATAGTTCTGTAAAACTGAAATATGGACCTATTGTCACTATGAATGCACTTATTTTCAATTCTGATGAAATTCTTGTAGCCAATACCTACTAGATTCGAGTGCCATTCCTGCGAATCTCGCATAAGAACAGTGAATTTCGGTTAATTATATCAGAGGTGGCTATGTCTTTATTGACTAGTGGTTTATAAAATGATGAAAACTACCTTGTTAGTAAATATACACTTTACGCCTTGAAAAAGAGTAAATAATGTTAGGTTGTAGAGCTAGTGTTGGGAAAATTGGTATTTATACACCAAGTTAGTGAAGAACATCATTATTACCCAGGAACCACCAAGATTATATCATGAGGCTTCATCCGTGGCAATAATATAATTTGCTGCCAAGGTGTATATTATATATTTTCACTAAGAACTGATATATGGACCTATTGTCACTATGAAAGCACTTCTTTTCTTAGTACCCATGACCATGGCAGAATAATTATCACAGGTCATTATTGATGAATATCTACTAGATTCGAGTAGGTACCATTCCTGCAAATCTCGCATCAGAACAGTGCATTCTGGATAATTATAACAGAGTGGCTATCATGTTAGTAAAAACACGCTTTACGCCTCGAAAAGGAGTAAATAATAGTAGGATCTATAGCTAGTGGTGGAAAAACTCATTCAATTCCTCAGCAGGCAGAACCAACGCGGTGGCCACCAGGAGCGCCTCGTTCTGCACCCGCTTGCAGAGCCCCCCCACCTCCCCGCCTCTTCTACCCGTGCGAACCGAAGCTTCCAGGCGGCACAACTTTGTCAGGAAGGACCGGCCGGCTTCTGTCATACCGACCACCGATGACAGATCGTCGACAGATGACAGATCGGGGGATGGCGCGCCTAGATGGCAACGGGCCAGTCTCGTATCGAATGCGAGGGACGACGAGAAAGATGAGGATACTTTGTCTCAAGGTTAGCATTTTGTGAAGAAACATTTGTGAAATTTGTATATCGCTACTTCGAAGTTGGGAACCAGATCCTCAGAAGAAGAAACTTGTGCGGGGTTAGGAAGAGCGGGAGCTACAGCTTATAGTGGATTATCGACTTGAAGTGATTTAGTGCACGTACACTTGCGCAATATGCAACAATGATACCTTGTTATTGGAATGAGGTCAGGTTTTTTATCAACATACAGACGTTTAATTTCTTGGATTCATACAAAAATGCGAAGTTCCTAATATTCATGATATCACTCATTAAATAAATCAGTTTAATATCTCATAAAACACAAACCAGACCTCAAAACGGTGACACAGACCACCGAGACCAGACCTGTGCACTTCATTTGACAGCTATGACAACGCTCTTCTATTTACATACTGTTGCCAAGTGGATATATTGAACTGTTTGTTCTATGAAATATAATAATAATAATAATAATAATAATGTCTTTATTGGACAAGAAGATTTGCAACATAGTAAATAGAAAAAAAAATTATAATGTCCCAGGCGAGGTTCAGGTACTCCCCCAAGGGGGAGCCCTGCTCTACCACCTAACCTGTGTAAAATTTCAAACATTTTCCAAAACATACCCGTACAAAGCCAGTACCCGCCAAAATACAATAAAAATTAAATATCTATATGTAAATACTTAGTGCAGGAAATGAAAGAATACAATATAAATTCAGAATGAGTAAATAATGAAATTTTATATATTATGAATATTGGATTATGGATATTATGAATAATGACGCTGATGGCAGTAGGAGAGAGAGAACAAAAGTATGAGTAACAGGAGTACAGAAAAGACAGAAGAGATATAAGATGCGGAAACTTATAAAGACAAGAAAAATAAAAAAAGGGATAGTATACACCAGGAAAGGATTATAGCGGGTTCAGAATGGTTGCGTGAATGATCCATCAAGTATTGATTTTTTTATTGACCTGCGAACTGTATGTTTGTTGGTATTGTTAAAGCTTGGTAAGTTATTATAGATTTTGGCCGCGGTATAAGAGAAGCTTCTCTCGAAAAGTGCAGTTTTATGAGATGGTATTGAAATATTATTTTTAGAACGGATATTAGCATCATGTAGATTTCTGCGAAAGTCCAACTTATCAAAAAGATATTTGGGCTTATTGTTAATTATAATATTATGTATGAAACAACTGTAGTTCAATAGCCATCTCTCCTTCATATTGAGCCACCCCATTTCTTTAATTTTATTTGATATTGGACAGTTTCTTTTGATACCATGAATTAGTCTTGCACAGCTATTTTGCATACGCTGTATCCTATAAATATCATATTGGGTTAGGCATTGGTGAAATACAATTGAAGCAAAATTGAAATTGCTCAAAACAAGTGTATCACATAAAAGTCTTTTGATCTTTTTGTCCAAAATATGCCTAAAACTATAGATTAGTTTCAAATTGATGAATGCTTTTTTTAAACAATTAGTCACCTGACCATCGAATCTTAGATTATTATCTACTTGTAGGCCCAGGTTACGCGCTGATGTAACAAATTCTACAGGACTGGTTTCCATATTAATGTTCAGACGATCACTAATACTTTCCCGTTTGGTTTTGTTGCCGAATATGAGACCCTTGGTTTTATTCGCATTAATGGCTAGACAGTGATCTGACGAAGCGCGGGCTATGTTTTCTAAGTCCGAGTTGATCCTTTCTGCAGCTTCATTCGTGGAAGATTCTTTAAACGAGTAGTATATTTGAGTATCATCGGCATAGAAGTGACATCGACAATTCTTAAGAAAATCGGACATTTTACTAGTATATAAAGTGAATAATAGAGGTCCTAATATGGATCCTTGAGGAACACCTCTACTGATATTTAGTGCATCAGACTGATTTTCTTCCAATCTAACAATCTGTTTGCGATCACTTAGATAGCTGTTTAGAAGCCATACGGCGGTATTACTGAAACCAAAATAGTGGAGTATTGCTAGTAGAAGTTTATGATCGATTCTATCGAATGCTTTACTGTAATCAAGTAAAATAAGAGCCGTTAGTTCATTATTATCCCATGCTTTTAGTACATCATCACACACGTTTAGTAGAGCCGAAGTACAACTATGTTGTGGTCTGAATCCAGATTGACATTGAGGTAGTAAGTTGTTTTCATCTAAATATGATCTAATTTGGTTTTCCATTATTTTTTCTATTATCTTAGACAAAGCAGGTAAGATACTTATAGGTCTGAATTCACTAAACACAGCAGGGTTTTTAACTTTCGGAATGGGCGAGACAAGAGCTATTTTCCAAATATTTGGAAATGTAGAGATTTCAATGCAGTAGTTAATGATGTGAGTAATGAACGGTAGTATGACAGGTAGAGATATTAAGAGCATTTTTAGATTAATTCCATCAAATCCTAAAGCGTTAGATTTAAGGTTAAGGGCTACCTCTTTGACGACCTCGAGTCAACTAGTGTGAAATAGAAAGTTCCGGAATTGAGATGGACGTTATTATCATAGTAATTCATAGCAATAGGATTAGGAGAAATAGCAGGAAATGAGTTGACGAAATAATTATTGATTTCATTGGGGTTAAAAGTACTAAAGGATCTCGCATTTTTATCATGTTTAGTTTTCAGACTTAGGTCATTAAGAGCTTTCCAAATAGGTCGCGTGCCCATCCCATGGAGCATAGTATTCCTTATGAAGTTCTTTTTCTCCGTTATTATCGCCTGATTACAATAGTTTCTCAACCTCTTGAAATATTCCCAATCCTGAGGATTCCTACTGGATCTATATCTAGAAAGAGCATTTCGTTTCAGTTCCAGAATGTGTTTAAGATTGTCAGTTAGCCATGGCGCAAATTTTTTTGTGATGCGAGAAGTAGTAATAGGAGCGTGTTTGTCAAATGTATTTGTGATTAGTCGATTAAATCTATCCAATTTCTCATTAACATCATCTATATAAAGAATATCGTTGAAATTACAAGCACGTAAGTCTGTCAGAAATGAATCCATATTGAAATATTTAAAATCTCTATAGGTAATATATTTGGCTTCCTTATCAATCTCTGATATCATACTGATTTCGCCATATGCCAGGTGGTGATCTGATAAGTCGTATAAATCAAAAACATCTGAAGTTAAAATTTCGCAGTGGTCTGGGCAGATGAATAAATCTAGTAAAGTTGAGCCACTATGAGAAATTCTAGTTGGTTTATCAACTACTTGAATTAAATTCAAACTCTCTAAAATAGAAATAAATTTTGCTTGGTTGGAACCATCAAGCTCTAACATATCTAGGTTGAAGTCCCCACCACACAAGACATCATCATATTTAGTAGATATTTCCAAAATTATTTCTTCAAATTCATTTAAAAATTCAGGTACTGAGGCATGTAGACGATAGATGACCCCTGTACCGATTTTTTTTTTATGATGGGAAAATGTTATCCATAGTTGTTCAAAAGTATTACGCCTCTCCATTTGTACGATGGTAGCATTGAGATAAATATTTTTTATGTATATTACTACACCGCCGCCTCTCCCGATTCCTCTATCCGCTCTAAAAATATTATATCCGTTAATTGCGATAATATCATTATCTGTGTCCAGTGTCAGCCAGCTTTCTGTCACTAATACCAAGTCATAATTGCATTTCCCAATGTATTCCCTGAAAGAAGCAATTTTAGGTAAAATTGATCGAATATTGTAAACAGCAAACTTGAATGATATCATTTAAATATGTAGAAAGAAAATAAAGAAAGAAAGACAGAAAGAAAGGAAGAAAGAAAGAAAGAAGGAAAGAAAGAATGAAAGAAAGAAGAGAGAGACATTATTAAACAAAGACCAATAGTGGGGAATGCCATCATCATCGTTCACATCGTTTAATAACAATCCACATAAATAATTGCACAAAAAAATATATACCTTCTCTAGTGATTGAGAACCATAACCATTAAACAACTTTCCGAAAATCTTCCTCATTTGTGATAAGAATAACCTCACTACCCTCTCGTTTTCTCATATAAATATTACAATATTTCACCCATAAAAATTTTATGTTATTTTCATTTTTATATACCTTTGCTTTGGCTAGCAAATTTTTATTGTAACTAGTTAGAAATTCATTAACGTAAATAACATTATGTTTTTTTAACAAAGATTTCAAAGAGTCATCCAAATTGCTAGTCGAAAAATCATGTTTTACCCTCCTATTGTTAAGGAACCTTACTTTATATTCAACTTTACTGAAACAGATTATTATTTTAGAGTTTTTTACACCATTCTTATCAGTAAAGTGAACTCGATAGCAATTATTGATCATCGAACATTCTACTTTCACACCTAAAGCAACACCAAGCAGCTGAACAGTCACAAAAACATTTTCTCCACGCGGCTCAGGAACTCCAGTGACCTCCAAACAATTGAAACGTCCGGCTTGGTCAATTTTATTCATTTTCATTTGTAATTGCTGATTTTCGAGCTTCAGGCCTTGAATGGTTTCGGATAATGCTGATATTTTTTCAGTATTATCCTCCACTGCTATGCACTGGGAACTGAAGTTAGTTTTTAATGACTCAACATCCACCTTAATGTCATTTAAACTCTTGAGAAATTCAGCTTGCTGACGTGAAATAAATTGTACTGTAGCTTGGATATCATTGAGAATGGCCATATCAGTTTTCATATTCACACTATTACCTGACTTTTTGGCACCACTTTCAAGTTTCGTGCTACAGGTCAAACATAACCATATCAGATTTCCAGAATTATAATCCGGTATTTTGGATACGCTTATATCAGTACACTCCCAATGATAAATATTCGAACAACATCTACATGCGATTTTATTTTTAGCTGCTGGCCTCTCACCGCACTTGCTGCAGGCAGACATTTTTGGAATCACTGATTCTTTCGACTGTTTTTATTTGAACCGAAATATTCGCATGCAAATATATAACTAACTTGAAGATCAAATTACTCACAGATTAGTGATTGCACGTTGGAATGGTCAGTACTACTATTTCCTATCCCAGCAAAATAGTCACTGAATCATATAGGTAGTTTTATATTTTCTCATATCTGCATAATACTTCCCTCGATGACAGTACATTTTAGATTTGTCGTCGATGCTGTCGCAATGAGCAAACCCAGAAGTGCGCGTACCTATTTTCAGTGTGTAATTTTGTTTTCGCGCATCCGTATGTATTGGCATCCTAGGTGACTATATGGTGTGCGTACAACTAAGAATCACACATTTTTAATAAAAATAGAGAACACCTTTTACTTGAGAGGTGGGGGTACATGAATTCTTCACACTTCTTTGACTCCTTTCTCAACGATAACGTGAATTCCGCACAACTTCTTGAGGAAGGACCGGCCAGCTTCTGTCATACCGACCACCGATGACAGATCGTCGACAGATGACAGATCGGGGAATGCGAAGGACGACGAGAAATATGAGGATACTTTGTCTCAAGGTTAGATTATATTAGATCAAATTTAGAATGGGGCCTTTGGGCTATCTGCCTCCACACCGCGGCCTTTTCAGATCTATTGTTTCTGCCCTCAAAATCGATTAGAGTTCTTCGGCTAGCCCCGCCTTCTCTATGAGACTCCATAGGCTAGCTTTCAGATCCCCTGTGGATCGTTGGGCTTCTGGTTTTTCCTTACGCAGCGTAAGGAACCTTAGTTTTGACAAGCCCTCCCAGTGGCAAAGTATGTGTACTGCTGTTTCCTCCTCTTCCTGACAGAACCTGCACACCAGTTCTTCAGTCAGACCTATCGTACTCATGTGTTTGTTGAGCCTACAATGCCCTGCGAGAAGTCCCACTAGTCCCACTTGTCTCAAGGTTAGCATTTTGCGAAGAAAAATTTGTGAAATTTGTGTATCGCTACTCAGAAGAAGAAACTTGTGCGGGGTTGTAACGATATAGAAATCGTTACTTTTAACTCCTTTTTAATGAATATTATCAACACTTATTGATATATCATAAAAGTTCGATATCGAGATCACGAACATTAAACAGTACTTTCAGTTCTCTTTATTCTACTCTGATAATGGTAATTAGAATCCGAGAATTGAATTAGAATGACCTCTATTAGTACGAGGATGAATTCATTAAATAGGTAGACAGTTTATAGGTAGAAATCTTTGTTCGTGAAATTTAACAGGTGATTGAGATGGATTGATAGAAATCACGTGAGAAGGAATTTTCTTGAAAACGAAGGTGGACTGAAATCTGCTTTCATCCATTTTAGACTTTGAGCATACAACATCTCGAGAATTGTTCTTTTTCGATAAATCGAATTCTCCCGTAGAAAAAATGAAGACTCGAGCTTGTGTGATTGTTTAGGGATATCAGAAGTGATATTGAGCTTGCAGACACCCTACTCCAACATTAACTGCTGTAACAGAAAAGATATTGGACCTTCGTCCTAGTACATTACAAAAGGTAATAATTATGCGCAAAAATCATGAAAGAATGGCTCAGTTGATTGAAAATCGTGGATTCTTTACCCTTGTATATCGCTTCTTCGAAGTTGGGAACCAACTCCTCAAAAGATGAAACTTGTGCGGGGTTAGGAAGAGCGGGAGCTACAGCTTATAGTGGATTACGAATCACTTCTAGGACGCCGAGGTGCTGTCAGGGCTACAACCACAGAATTATTTTTCCTTCAGATGAATTTTCATGAAATAAGTTCGGAACTTTCCAGTTTTTTGTCCACGCTGTACAGAATGGCGACCGATAAAGTCGTTTTCATTCTCAAATTAAAGCAATTTCTGATTTTTGGGGTGGCAAACTGTGACGTATATTCTGAATCTAGTCTGAAACTGATAGTGAAGAATATAGCTAGCGAATAGCTCACGAATAGCTAACGAATGAAAAAATAGAACAAGTAAAATTGGTAAACAAAAACATACATAACCACAAATGCACTCGGAGCAGGAATGCAAAGGGTAGTTGGCTTCATTCTGACAGGTAATGGTTTTGTTATTTATGCATTGAAACATCTCGAATAGAGCTCGATCCTAAACGAAAATATCATTGAATCAATGTATCAATATCGGTTACATTCAATGATACTATCGTTCCTAATTTACTGTCATCGGTCAGAACAGAATGAAGCCGACACCCATGGCTCCTTCTTCTTGTTGTGCCCGTCAGTATTTTGAGTGGTGTGGATTGAATCAACGTATTTGGCGCTGTTGCAAAATATAATCTGCAACTTTCCTATCCCATTGCTGTTATGATATAGTTATTATGCATTCAATTTCCGGAAATCTAGACATATCGATGATGTCGGCAACGTCGTACTGGCACAGGGAATCGTATTTTAACTCTGTGTGCATGTGGATTTTCAGAAAGAACGTAATAGGAATGGCGGAGGAGCCAAGTTCCTCTTTTATATATTTTTTTCTGTGACGGGAAAAAAGTTTGGCATTTCATCTCTGTTGGCAGGTTATAAAATGTCAGTTTTCAAAAATTACTTTTTTCCCGTGGGAATAAAGTGAGTACTTTTTTCCCGGATATAAATCACATATATATATACACTGTTGATGGCTTTTTTTTGTGCCATAGTTCCTAAAAATGAGCCGCTAATACAGTCTCCGAGAAAGAACTGCAAATCCTTTTATCTTTCATTCGACTTCGCGGTGTTACGTATATTCCTAAACAATCACTAAATTCGCAATTTTTTAAAATCAAATCACAGAATTAGATTGACAGAAGTGACATTAGATATTTGATTACTTCAAAAGAATTATAAAGATGCCTACAACGCAGGTGTCCCTACTGTTGAAAACTTGAAATTTCACGTCGATAATTTTCAGATTTCAAAATAATGTAATATCTTCTCAATATTAATTCGTCATTTCTTCTGTCACAGAAAAAAATAGTGTATTATACACGGGAAAAATATTAGATTTTAGCTCACGGTTTTTTGTCTCCCTCCGCTACGCGTCGGGACTCGGGAGACAACATAACCTGGACCTAAAATCTACTACTTTTTTCCCTTGTATAATAAATAACTATTTTTCTGAAGTGAAATTTGATCTTACGGAAAAAATACGTAAATATTAATTCTTTACAAACTTCACAGTGAGATAAGATTCTCAATATAGGAAACTTCCCCATTCTGATTTTGCTTTTCTCGACAGCTCAAAAATACGAAATCAAAGATACTACCTCGGAGGCGGACAATAACGCCGTCTTGTCAATCTCTTTGCAAGGACAGGCGAAAAATCCTCCGGAAGACAAAGATAATAGCAGGGAGAATCTGTCGGCTACTTCGGGCAGTTTGTCGTCGTTGAGTCCGCCGAGCAGTCCGAGTAAAGTGAAATCGGAGCAGGAGAAACAAGAGCAGGAAGCGAATGAAAAATCCCTATTTGGTGAGTTTTTTTCTTAAGTACTTCATACTCCATAACTACGAGATTCAAAGCGAATGAAAGTGATCCATTTGTCAGCAAGAGCGATACTTTACTGTTTCGGCACACCGGAACTCATCGGTATCGCACTCGGTCTCCTGGCAACTGGGATATCTTAGTGTTTTGAGTATATCAACCTGAATGAAGATGCCATCAATTTCTTGATGGAAATTTGCGCCACTATTAGATCAAATTCTTGAATAGTTATTTTTATACCAAGAACGAAAAGCTATCTATTATAGTCAATATAGACAATAGGCAGTTTTTCGCCGAGGTGCATATTACATTTTTTCGATGACCTCAAACAATTATTTTCACATCACACGTGAAAACTATCGGATTCCGTGAATAATTGATGTGACAATAGCAATGACAGTTGTTGTCATCCATCGCAAAAGCTGCTTCACAAAAACTCGGATTCTTGTTCCGTGCGAAAAGCTACTTTACACCTCAACAGCTTCTCATGATCTACAAAGCGCAGATACGGCCTGTTCTAGAATACTGTTCCCACATATGGGATTCAGCACCAAAACATACGCTGATGCTCTTAGATTCCATCCAGAGAAGAGCCATTCGCCTGGTGGGTGACGCCACACTCACTCACTCTTTGACATCATTGGAACACCGTAGAAAGGTCGGCGACCTTTCACTTTTCTATCGATACTTCCACGGGAAATGTTCTTCGGATATCTCTGCTATCATCCCTTCACTAGCAATACCAATCAGACGAACTAGACAAGCCCAGTCAGCACATCCTTTCGTTGTCAACCTCGAAAGATGTCGAACAGCACTTTATCAAGACTCCTTCATCCATAGAACGGCTAGGCTCTGGAATTCATTGCCTGTGGAAGTATTCCCAACAACATATAATCTCCAAAAGTTGAAAAAAAAATTCCAATACCTACCTCCTGTCCCTATCCTCCCTAGGAACGCACGATGTTCTTTGAACATTATAGGGATTCCCTTTCGTGCGCTCCAAGCGATAAAAAAACTCACTCTCCGTGCGGACCAGGGTTGCCAGGTCGATTCTTATTCCATCAGTGAATACCTTGTCAAAATTTCAGTAGATTTCAATAGATCTGTTTAAGATCTATTTCATGCTATACGAATTCCAAGAAAGGAAAATGAAATAAACCTATGACGTCAAAACATTGTGTACTTTTAGTAAACAGAAAACTAACCTAAAAAGAAACAAACAAAACTGACATTCTCATACAAAAATAATCATATTCCTAATTCTCAATTCAAAAATACTCACAAATATCCCAAAATACAGTTACATAGATACATACTTATATAAGATTTGAGTACATAAAAAACAGAAACGAATAGTAAAAATGAACAACAAAACAAAAATACAAAATATATAAAAAATTAAACGTAAGAAACGAAGTGTTATAACAGAGGTATTCGAAAAATTTAATTTTATCTGAATCATATACAGTGTGTCCCAAATTCGATCCTCACCATTGGGATCTCAGTAACTATGAGAGATAGAGAAACGCTCAAATAAGCAAAGTTGTAGCAAATTTATTGTTGAATCAGAATCTATCAAGAAATCCAGGCTAGCTTCAGTCATTCTTGAGTTATTTGAGAAAAAATAAAATCTTGTATTCTTGTTTTTCTCGAATATCTCGGAAACTATTGATTTTATGAAAAAATTACTTCATAATTCTCATAGCACTTTTTGGTGTTCTTTTCAATGGTTTTGTCAGTTTTCCATCATAATGTCAAATTTCTGAGATATCACCTACAACTTCGGTTTTTCTCATGGACGCCATATTGGATTTTCACAGATTTGAAATCAGCATAAAATTTCCTTTCTAATGATGTATCACTAACACAGTTTTATCCTATAAGGAGAACTGATTTCCAATTTTTGTTTTTATGTCCAGTAGGCTATGCGCTAAACTCTCTATAAACAATAACGATTATGAGAGTAGGCTTGGATAGTTGAAATGGTTGAGTCATTTTGATATCCTACAGAATGTAACAGGTTTGATGAAAGGCTTCTTTGTAGCTGTAATACTATCCGTAAGACAGTATTATGTCAATCACACACACGATGTAATGATGATTCAACAATGATTTTTGATATTTTCTGTGATAACTTCGAGAATTAACACAATTAACACGAATAGCAGGAATAAAATGTATGCAAAACACACAAAATATGTAAACAAAGTACCCTGATAACGCCGCCATCTTGTTTTTGATACAGCGCCCTCAACGGTCGATCACCTTGCCAATTTGACATGAAATTAGTTGACATTTTGATTTTTGAAAGTTTGGTTGCAATTATCGCAATAAACTATCGAAAGCAGCTGCGATAGTGAGTTTGGAAATGTCCATACGAAATTTCCAATACAACAGTTAGAAGGTATAGGTATTCTGTTCAGATTTCAGTATTTCATACAAATGTATCTCATTGATTTGTTATTCTACATGGGATAATCATGTCAGATCCATCGCAAAAGCTGCTTCACAAAAACTCGGATTCTTGTTCCGTGCGAAAAGCTACTTTACACCTCAACAGCTTCTCATGATCTACAAAGCGCAGATACGGCCTGTTCTAGAATAATGTTCCCACATATGGGGTTCAGCACCAAAACATACGCTTGTGCTCTTAGATTCAATCCACAGAAGAGCCATTCGCCTGGTGGGTGACGCCACACTCACTCACTCTTTGACATCATTGGAACACCGTAGAAATGTCGGCGACCTTTCACTTTTCTATCGATACTTCCACGGGAAATGTTCTTCGGAAATCTCTGCTATCATCCCTTCACTAGCAATACCAGTCAGACGAACTAGACAAGCCAAGTTAGCACATTCTTTCGTTGTCAACCTCGAAAGATGTCGAACAGCACTTTATCAAAACTCCTTCATCCATAGAACGGCTAGGCTCTGGAATTCATTGCCTGAGGAAGTATTCCCAACAACATATAATCTCCAGAAATTCAAAAAAAATTCCAATACCTACCTACCTCCTGTCCCTATCTCCCCTAGGAACGCCCGATGTTCTTTGAACATTATAGGCACTTCCTTTCGTGCGCTCCAAGCGATAAAAAACGCAACACGTCGAAAAACAGTTTTTGTTGGACTCACAGACTTCCAGGACTCGCCTATGGCTCGTCCTAGAATTTTGTCTACTCGTCCAAAAAACAGTATTTTCCGGACTTGTTACGTAAATTACTATTTCCGTCGACCTCGTATTAACGACTAAGTTTAATGTATATGAAATCGTTCATTAATGACCCCTATTAATCAACGATTTGTCTATTAATGCACGATTGTTTTATAGGCAACCAAACATACACCGCGTGCATCCATTGTTTATGCTATAACTTACGGAATCTGTATTTAAATCGAAAATATGGATTTTATCGAAGATTTTCCGTTAACGGGTTCGCCTTTCCAAGTTTCTGACACGATTTTAATCCCTGTTTTCTATAACAAAGAATTTATTTTCTATGTTGATCATTTAGACAAATGTCGAATGTCACTAATGTCAGTAACAAGGCTACTGGGTGATTCTTAGCAGTTTCCGGATGAATGATGAATTCGCGTACCAAGTTTTCCATAGCAGGAGAAATGAGAAATATAGTCGACGGAAAAATTTTGTAACCAACTTGTATATTAAAAGGCGATTAATGATCTCGAACTTTAACGCGCTCGCTTCGAACGCACGATAAAATATCTCGATCATTAATCGCATTCATGAATACACTAGTTGGTTAAATAACTATTTCAGTAGGTCATGAAATGTTTCAGTAGGTTATGAAATGTTCCAGTAGATCAGTAGATCAATATGCAAATCAGGAGACCTGGTGAAAATTCCGTCGAACTGGCAAACCTGCAGCGTACGAAAAGTTAGAGCCTGCGGACGAAAAGTACTTGCCTTCGGAAATGTTGGTTCTACATCAGGAAATTAGAACGTAAAATGTGATTTTTTGTAGAGGTCGACGCAAATAGTAGATTGTTTTATTAGGATCAAAAGTGACACTTTGTTTGACAAGCGAATTTTGCATTTGCGAGGCGGAGCGTTTAGTGAAGCCGAGCGAAAGCAAAATTTGCGAGTCAAACAAAGTCACTTTTGATCCGAATGAAACATGCTATTTTTTCTGCAACCGAAACAATTCACTCGAATAAACATGTGAAGTAACCACCAATGCCGTGCCATATGTATGCAATGCAACAAATATTGACAAATAATCCATGTGAGAATATTCTTCTTCTGCATTAACAGCAGGTTAGGTTTTCTAGGATGTTCGAATTGTAGTTTCAATATAAATACAACCACAGAGTGACATATTTGTGTATGGACCAGGTGCTCTAATGGCAAATACCGCGCCAGTGCCAGCTATAGGAACAAGACGTGGAAAATGTTAGGTTAGTGAGCATATCAACAATGATAATAGTAATTATTTATTCCTCTCCATACTACACTGTGTTTGACTTGATAATCAGATGAAGCTAAAGAATATCGTTGTTTGAGACAAAAAACTATTGCTTGCTGTGATTATTCAAAAACAAGTTATCCATCCCGAGAATAACCAATGAAATACAGATCAAGCAAGTATTTGAATCTTGAAGGCTTCCCTGATCAAAACAAAAATACTTAACTGAGATGTTTATAATTCCAATAATAAACTATAATGAGGTATATTTATATCTCCAGTATGGGTATGAAATGCCAAATCTGCTGAAAGCGGAAACAAATCAGGTATGCGTCTCAACCCAAATAATTAACCGTCACAATGTTGTTTATTCTTGATAACGTCCAGTAGATCCTTTTTAGTTCCTAGGAGCTAAAGTTCAACTTTAGCTCCTAGGAACTAAAATTCAACTTTAGCTCCTAGGAACTAAAATTCAACTTAAGCTCCTAGGAACTGAATATGTTGCCTAGCAACATACCTATTTTTGTGTCAGTAATAGAAACGTCAATTTAAGAGCTAATTTTG